ACTCTCGCTCTCTCACACACGACTCTCTCTCTCTCTCTCTCTCTCTCTCTCTCTCTCTCTCTCTCTCTCTCTCTCTCTCACACACACACACAGACTCACGCTAGGGGACAAAGAAGGGGAATAAGGAAAAGTCAACAAATCGACAGGACATTCGATTTTAGAACTCATTTTTTCTTGTCGTTTAGGATGAACTCTTTCACCGACCCACATCACGGTTTCCCACACCTTGCCTTCGTTAATGCTCGATGCAAACCATGCTTTTCAACTCTTGAACCCTCTCACCTGGAGATTTTCACATTGAGAGCATACCCTAACTGAGAAATGGCGAGTGTCAACAAAACACTAGTCGAGTAGAGAAAAAGACGCAAACTCAGAGAAGAAATCCGAAACAAACTGCCCTCATTACATAACAAGTTCACAAAATCATACTCACGAAACGCACACCATCCCCCCCCCCTCTCTCGCTTCTCACGCTCCAATTAGTCATCCCATCACAACAAGCGCACACAACCCGGCCACGATAGCGAAATCCCTTCATGTCTGACAATGTTCGAGCCAATATACTTCTCAAGCCTCAGTAAAAAATCGCAGTTCACAACACTGCACGCCGATTCCACAGCATAGGTGGAAACTCAACAAGATCGCCTCGTCACACACACCGTGTATGCAAACGTCCACTTTGACAACTAAAACACTAAAAGGACAGTCTTCAAGACGCACAGAGCCATCAGCCCCCTACCTCCTCTGCCCGGCAACAGAGCAAAATATATCTCCAACCCATCCTGACAAAGTATCACTGAGCAGGAGAGCTTTCAAATCCATTCCGCTCTTACAAATCATTGTGATCTTTTGCAGTGATGGGGTGGAGACATCATAATCATATGGGTTTATATAAACGGAAGGGCTGCAAGCTTACCTGCTGAGTGATGCTTCCAACGAAGAAAGCGCCAGGATGACCTAGACATCGACATTAGGGTTCTGTTCGTACTCCAAGTCCTAAGTCCCAAGAGGGTACGGTGAAGAAAACCCCAAATATGACGACGGATGAGGGATTAGGGTTCCTGAGTTCCACGGCAGAACGTCCACAGCAAACCCGCCGACGGATGACGGATTAGGGTTCCTGAGTTCCACGGTAGAACAAATCCACTGCAAACCCGCCGACACAACTATTGAAATCGATCTGAAGCATGGAATGAAGGAAAGGCGTGGCACGGTCCGCTCGTTTGCTGCAAACCCGCCGACACAACTCTTGAAATCGATCTGAAGCATAACGCACCGTTCGGGCCAGTGCATATTTCTGCGCGTTTAGTATCCGCCCTTCAGGTCGTTAACGACATCGTAAGGAATGGGAGTGACGGTCTCAATCTCTCCACCTTCCACCATGAAGCCAGGCTTGGGGCCGACAGGCTGCCTCTTGACGATGAGCTTCTCCGTGTGACCCTTGGCTTTAGCCTCAGCTTTCAGCTCGTCGTTCTTCTTCACCCTCAAAAGGAACTCCTCCCTGCAGCGAGAGGGGTGCACGTGCTCGATTCTCACGTGAATCCTCTTCCTGATGATGCGATTGCCAACCTGCTTGTTTACTTCAACGCCAATGGCGCGCTTCGTCACGTTCCAGACAGTGCCCGTGCGTCCATGGTAAAACTTGTGAGGCATACCCTTATGAACTGCCGCGTTCACCTTGATGTCTACGGGATCGCCCAGCTTGTAGACCCGCAGGTACGTGGAGACGGGGATATAACCCTTCTGCCGAAAACCACGAGAGAACAAGTCTCTCGTGCGAGAGCGAAGACCATGACCGGCCGGCATGGTGACACGTGTCGGGTATTCCTGCTGCCGCTCCGAGAATCAGCTATGGCGACGAAGACACGCCGCAGAGGATTCCTGCTCCTGCTTTCCCGCACGCCTCACACCGCCACGCTCTAGACCTTCCCCGCCAGTCAAAAAACCCGAGAGACCCAAACCCGAGAAAGGGCCTGTATAAAAGTCGTCACGCACTCATATAGCCGAACCCTTGGCCCAACCCTACCATAGTCAGTCCGCGTGCCTTCGTCCAGGCCTACCGTAGGGCCTGATATGCACCATGGTTCGAATCCGTTACCCTACCAGTCTGGGCGGAAGATCAGAAGGGCAGCACACAGGACTACCGAGGCAAAGCGAAAACCGGGGACGATGGGGTCCGCACCTCCGAGCATGGCAATCCAACGGTGCACAGTTGCTTCCGAGGCTCGGTGGTGGGGACCACCACCTTTCCCCATTCCGAATGTCAAGCACCTCCTTGCCAACTTGGATCGAAAGCCACAGGGCTACCTGGACTCCACCCGCCGCCTTCGCCTTCGGCAAATGCAACACGAGAATTCCGTCAGATAGGACCTTGATGGGTGTTGGACTCCGAGAGCACGCCACATTTTCCCAGTTTTTCGTTGTCTGACCGCGAGTAATTATACCATTCACCCCAACCTTTTCTTTTTCTTATTCCAACAGGCTTTTCCCAAATCGCACATAGCCCCTACGTTTGTTGCCCACCGCTGAATTTTATAACCTTTTAGAGGGTACATTGTATTATAGCACACTATATGTATATTGTACAACAAATTTGAAATTTATGAGTGGAACTTTTTTGTGTCACTCCCTCTATGCACATATAATAAACTTGATTTTTATGAGTCGAACTTTTCAGTGTTGCTCCCTTTATACACTCGTTTTTACTTTTTTCTCAATTTTTTGTTGTGAATCTCGATAAGAACTTCGATGTAAAATCATGTGTACCTTGCCAAAACCAAGTATAAATGTTTTTTTATTAAATCATTATACATGCAGTCGTGTCATGGAACAACGTGTATAACCACGTAACCGTTAACATTCGAAACTCGGTTGTACTTGGGAACAATCACACCTTCATAGGCAGCGATAGCAACTAACTGTCGTACAAAATTTGTCATTTCGTTTGCATATAATTTAGTCAAAAAGGTCAACAGTTGAAAACTAAGAAAAACACTTGCAATGGAAATTTTTACAAGTTAGTTGGGATCAACCGCTTCAATTAATACTCTTAGAGGGGAATGAGGTAGTAAAGTGAGTGCCTTCATTCCTTCTTGCTCGTGCTTGCCTCAAGATCACTAAACGTAGGTGCATCAAGTTACTCGTTAAAATGAAGCGAAAATAACGAACTTATCCCCTTATGTGGCAGGTTAAGCGGCCAAGGCAATGTCGATTTTACTGAAGGTATGCGCGCATTGGGCGAAATGGCATACGTATTGAGTGCAATGTTATTCCAAACGGGGGAAAGGCAGCACAACACAAAAGGCAGGGAAAAGTTGCGAAAGTGATAATTAAATATGTGAAGTTGATGGGGAGAATCATGGTTTATAGCCCCTTCGTCAGGCGAGGAACAAATGCATAATTTATAGTAAAGTGCCTCTTAGAAAGAAAGTGTGAAAAAAGACCACACAAGAGTTTTTGTGCTTACAGAGCGAGTAAGAATGTGATCGTTTGGCGGCAAAAAAACAAATATAATGACTAATCTATATTTTTTTAAGTATATTAGATCATGAACAATCAAAAAATTACACTATTTATTTGCATGGGTAGCCGAGAGTAAGGATTAACCTATGTAGCATTATTTTTTTCATTCATTAATATTATTATTATTATTTTTTCTAACCTAATTAATTTAATTTAATTTTATAATTATTTTGTTATGTATTTTAACATCATTCTAAATTATATATTCTTTATGATGTTTTATTTCATTATTTGTATTATTAACAAGAGTTATAAATTTTTTTGAGTTATAACGCAATGCAAATTATTTTCAATACTTTATTATTATAATCATATAATTTATTACTACACATTATTTATTAAGTTATAAATTTAAATAAAATAATTGAAACTATTTTAAGGGTATTACTGTGAGTGAAATTTAAATGAAGCTAATGTTTTTTTTTTTTCTCTTAATTTATGCGTGTCATTCTTGTGGAGGCGGTATGCTAATCCTTCATGACATCTGTTAAAATTGATTTGATTTTTATTTGTTGTGAGACGAGTTAGCACGTGGGAAACCCAACCTAAGCAAATTTATTTATAACAATAAGAAGGCTGAATTTTCTTTTTTTTTAGGTCACGAAAGCAATAAGTTTCCTAATAAAAATTAATGATAATATAATAATGTAATCCTACTCCTTAAGCAACGTAGGGTGCGGAGGGAAGGTCCATGATGTGCTGCGCACTGGATTCGTGTTGAAGTTTTGATGAGGCCTAACGGATGAAGGCGATCGAGGGCGAGGAAGCATGAAAAATAACGCGCGTACCGAAATGTTCACAACGCACTGTTCAACACGAGAGCGCGCACCTTGGATGGGGCACACAACGGACGTCGATGTGGATGAAAATCTTGGAGGAGAACCCTTTAATATGCGCGCACTTTTTTCTTTTTTTTTCCCTTTTTCTTTCTTGATCGACGGTCGTTTTGTGCCCCTTTTTCCCCTTACCCTTTTATTTTTTTCATTTCCTTTTTCCTTTTTTTTTTTTAGTTTTTGCGTTGTTTTCACGCTTGTCGTTTTATCCCCCATTTTCCCTTTCCCTTTTTATTTTCGCCGCGCGCAGAAAAAAGGTTGAAGTTTTGATGAGGGTCAGCGGATGACAGAGATCGAGGGCAAGGGAGCATTGTCGAACAAAATACCCTTACAAGGGTATTTTACCATGTTTTTGCAGATGACACAACATCTTCATCAACAACGATGATTGATTCGGTTTGAACTAAGGAGTGACGGTGCCTTAGTGTGACATCATGCGATCGATTCCTTGACCACTAAGGTCGAGATTGTTAAATGGCCACATACATTATCGTGTCGGACGCAAAAACGACGACAATTATTAAAATCTCCGACCGTGACAATGAGGATACAACAAAATAAATTAGTTAGTTCAAATCCACAGAGGTCGAGCGCGTCAGTATAGGAAAATCGGCGTTCCACTTAGCCGTAGATTCGAATGTGGGTTATAAATTAATAAAGACCCAATCACTCGGTCAGGGCAACAGGAACAAAAAAATGTTTGCCCACCGTAGCAAGCTATGGCACGCAAAGTTGCATAAAGTTGCCTCTATTATGAGACTTGGGATCTGTATTCTAACTATGTGGAGCCCCAGTCCTCTACTTATAACCGAACTGATCCTTTTTTACCTGAATGTAGAACTAACCAAGTTGGTGCAGGTGCGGTTTATCAAGCAACAAATGTAGGGAACAAATCCATCATGCCTTCGACTAGCTCTTTTTGCCAATAAGTCAACCCAAACCCGATCATTTGACCCCGCTCACAACCATTGGGATCCGAACTCATGACCTAGGGACTAAGAGTAGTTGAACGTAAGGATTTAGGCTCCTAACCATTGCAGGAGCTTGACAAATGTCCACAGGGGGTCGTTAGAGCCATTAATTAGTTTTCTTTTCGTTGTTGTTTTTTTTTTCCTATCCATGAAGACTGTTATTTTAATTTATTTTTTTTTACTTCTTTAGTTCCACGAGACTTTTAAATTCCGGCTATAAATACTATCTAGGTATTACAAAAGGTTCATTAAGTGAGGGAAAAAAAATGAAACGGCCACATACCGTGAGCTAGTTGAATGCCAAGTGTGTAGGGGCATCACTCCCAACCAATCGAATATATAGGAATCATAATAATGAGATAAAGAATAAATCTTCCGTCGGAACATGGGAAGATACATCGAAGTACTTTTGAGCACATTATGTTGCAACTAACTACGCAAAATAAGTATAAAAAAACATTAAAAATAAATAAAAAAAAATTGGACGTACACGAGATGTCAGTTATACCGCAGTATCTGGGTCACTAACGCGTTCAGATTCAGATACTTAATCCAGCTTTCAATATTAGTTGGATCATAGTTCCACGATCGATTTGCCATGTGGGAATAAAAAATGGCAATGCAGCTAGACCAAGATAGAAACAAAAATGGGAAGAAAGTGAATGTTAGTAGGAGAGTGGGGAAGATATACAAGTTTGAGCGCGAATCAGAGCGAGCGTTGTAGACAAAGTAAAGCAAGTTAAAGAATGAGAAGACAGACATAAGCATAAGCTGAAGCAAGTGAAACGAAAGTGAGCACTATAGTAAACTCAAACGTTTGAGTGAAAATATCGTGAGTGGGATAGTGGGCAAGCTAAACAACAAGCGTCAGCTCAATAGCGTGCGAAAAACAAACGCTTGCAGGAAGGGCGAGCACGAGCGAGAGTGGAAGGAGGGAGGAGGTGTAGGAGGGAGCACGAAAGGCAAAAAGTTATTTTGCAAGAGCAAACAGGGGGTGCGTTTGGCACGGTAGCGGGTGAGCGCAAGTACGAGTAAGCAAGCACGAGCAATCCAACGCAAGCGGGGGCAAGTTGGCGCGGTGATAAACAAAACGGGAATGCAAGCAAGGAAAAGTCGAAAACGGGGGTTACAATAGGAACGAACCCGACTGTGGGCAAAATAACGATCAGAGATAGAGAAAAGGAAAAAAAAACAATGGAGAAGGTCGTCATCATGGAGAAAAGGAAGTGAGATAGGAAAACAAAGAAAGCAAGGAAAAAAAAAAAAAAAAAAAAAAAGGAAAATGATTACAAAAAAAAAAAAGGTAAATGTTTTCACTCGATACAATGCGATCTCTGTCTCTTATACACATCTAGATGTGTATAAGAGACAGGTACGAGAGGAGAAAGGAAAATAGACAAGAGAAACGGAGAGAAAGTGAGCGTGATGAAAAACTAAGGACGGAGAACAAAGAAGACGAGAAGAGGGGAAGGAAAGATGGTAGAATGTGAGGCCGAGGAGGACGTTTGAGGAGAGCGAGTGACACACGGAGCGACCACAATGCTCTACACAGAGAACTCGAGTGATGTGAAAAGTCACAGGAGAGACAAGAAACGAGGGATGGAGAGAGAAGGAAAGAAATGTGAGGACAGCGATGAGTCAGAGGTCGGCGAAGAGAAC